GTGATCCACCTGCGCATCCGTAGTGATTTGTACCGATCTTCCTCTTGTGAGAAATCAATCGAAAAAAATCATCTTTGCTCGAATTAATCTACCGATTATTGGAAACGCGAGCTCTCTGATTAATTAACAGTTTCTCTAATTAAATTCTCCAGTAAACAATGGATTAAAATGCATTGAAATTTTTAATCCATCCATATCTTAATTTATTCTTGTTACTCAAGTTTGATTGTCTGAATACCAAAGCAAAGTTATTGAACGTTTTTAAAATTTGTATATCTAAGAATTTGTTTGATTAAATTACGCGACAAATGCAACGCAAGAGAAACAGTGAGCTACTTTCTCCAACCATCGATTTTATTTGCCCGAAAGCGAAAGTGTCGTTATCAAAGAGCGCGGTTGACGCTTGATGAATGGATAATGCAACGTCCGGAAGTTGCGACAACCGCTTTCGTCTGTGATTATAGATTACACATACAAATTTGTAGTAGTTACAAGCTTCATATTCGATTGTCTTCGCTTCTATCTGACAAAATCTTTTTGGTAGTAACTTCCTTAATATAATATATAATAACTTCCTTAATATATAATAACGTTTGCGTTATCGCGGTGTCGCGCAGATATTTTTATTTTTCATGTTTTTTTCAGCGGTGTCGTTTATGCGCCTTTCGTGTGCAGGAAGTGCTCGAAGAAACGCGCGGAACGGAAAGAGATTATCACGGAAATCGTGGAAACCGAGCAGAAGTACGGCAGAGATCTACACATCATACTCGAGGAGTTTCACCGGCCAATGTTAAGAGCGGGTCTTCTCACGTCGGAACAACTATCGGCAATCTTCCTAAACGTCGAGGAGCTGCTCGAGCATAATCTCGTTTTGGCCGAGAAATTAAAGGACAGCGTGGAACTCGCTCAGGTAAACCTAGAAACTCTTGCAAAACATGTATTTCAGTTCTTATTTTAAATACGCGTATGAATTGATATGAAAAAGTATGTGTATTGTGATGTCTGATCTTTTCGATTGTGTAGGAATCCGGGGACGAGGATCTCTTGACAGTGGACGTGGGTAAGATCTTCCTTGAGTCCGAAAGAATGCTCCACGCTTTCGAGAGTTACTGTACACGTCAAGGCGGCGCCAGTTTATTACTGCAAAATCTGGAGAAGGAGAAAGAGCTTCTTCGCATCTTTCTCAGAGTTTCTCAAATGGAGAACACGGTTTTGCGAAGAATGAATCTGAACTCCTTTTTAATGGTATTATCACTTAATTCCTTGACTTAATCTTTTATTCAGGAATGAAAGATATAAATCATACATAATTGATGTATTGTATTTTTTACAGGTTCCTGTCCAAAGAGTTACGAAATATCCTTTGCTTCTGGCACGTTTGCTCAAAGCGACACCTTCTGTTCGACCTGATATCCAAGAAGCGAAAAAGAGGCTTAAGCAAGCACAAACAAATATCGAGCTACATTTGGAACACATGAATGCTGTAAGTATATCACGAAGTATATCTAGTTACAATTTAAAATTGAAAATAAATATGCATTTATAATTATAATAGGAAGCAAAGGATGTTACGTCGACGAAATTGTGGAGGAGAATATCAATTATTCAGAATGGCAGACGGTCTGTCGGCGAACAGGATATGGTGAATATTAAATTAAGAAAGGTGTGTAAATCTAATTAAGATGCTCTATTTATACTTATTCAATTTTAAAAATGTTAATTGCTTAATTCTTTAATCATGCTATTAATTTTTATAAAATTTACATTAGATGGCTGTCGAGATTTTGGAATGGGCACACGAAGAAGCTAGGTTTGTCCTCGAAGGACGTCTTCTGGTAGCGCAACCGACTGACAATAACTGGAGACGCGGTCGAACTGTTAAACTTGCGCCTGTTACTGCCATGCTTGTTACAAACGGCAAAGTAAATATGTACAATACGTGTCTTTAAATGTGTCTTGTAAATAATTTTGTGCATAAATATAAATAATATTTTTATTTTTCAGCCGAATGCCGACTATCCCGAATTTAACGACGAATCGCTCTTTCCAAAGCACATAGGTATCAAAGAAGCTACCTTACTTCTGGTCAAAGAGAAACTTGGACGATATTCTTTATTACGAGTGAGTGATTAGTATATTTCACGTTATTTTATTAATCACGCAAATCCGTTTTTTTGAACTATCGATATTATTTCAGGAGCCGCTGTACCTCGATAAATGCATAGTATGTTGTGAAACGGATCTCGAAGATTATTTCGAAATACAGGAATTGTCTTCTAAAGAAACATTTATATTTAAGGTATTTAACTTAATTTTAAATACAAATCGAGATATGAATTTTAATTTAAAGATAATTTATTGACATTGGTACGAATAAATGGTAAATTCATTATAGGCAGAGGATGGCGCGAGAACGAAAAGATGGTGTAGAACATTACAGGCTCACGCACAGTCTCTTGGCGCTTGGCGCAAACGTCGAGGGGCCCTTCCTAATATCATGATCTGTGGTGTAGCGAGGAACTAAAGGCTTAGATGTAATAAGTACATATGTAACACGTTATCGGATGTATTTAACGCATTTTTAAGTCATTGAAGTTTTTCACCAGTGCGAAGAAGTCTAAGCGATTGCATAAATTCATGTATATGATCTCCAAATGAATTAGTAATGATTTATTTCGGAGAGAACGCTAGACCAAAGGATTTCCTCGCCTCATTGACACAGCCGTCGATGAGCGAAAGTCTAGTTCTTACCGAGGTATGACCATCTGTGTTCGGTTGTTACAGTACGTTGCAGAAACTTCAGTTTCCTACGACACTGTAAAATAAAGTGCTACGTGGCCTCGAGAGTCGCGCATAATTTCGTCGATTCCTAATGAATAATTTTAAGTACACACACAACACACACACACACACACAATATATTATATATATATATATATAAATAAAATATGCATATACATATATATGTACACACACACACACACACACACACACACACACACACATATATATAGGACTATTTAAGATTAATGATTAAATTCTCAAAAAAAAGACGAGACGAGTAGCTGTGATATTGACCGGTGTATTGGGTATTGTTTTCTTTTCGCAGATTATTTACGGATGTTAACATACTTTATCTGCATTTTCCATCTGCGATTCTTTTTACCAGTATCGCTTTTTGCGAAAATGATATTAATAGGGTAGATTTTATTAGATTCGAGGTTATATATAGGGTTCGCAGATTAATAGTATTGAAAAATTCGCATGAATCAGCAGCGTCAAGGATACAGGGTGCCGTATACGTTCTGTATAATTGGCGTGCATCGACAATTTGTAAAGCTGTCGGAATATACTTATTTTAATTTCTCCAATTATTCTCTTTCTTTCTCCAAATAATTAACAGTATTTTTATGATGTCTAACACAATATGCAAATTGTACATTATTTTTATTTAAGAATTAAGCCATACTGTGTATATATATAAATGTATATTTACAGATTTCCTCACAAAGTTCTAATAAAAATTCACTGTAACAAATTAATCTGCTACATTACAATCTGCGATTTAATAAAACTGAAATTTGATGCATATTTCAAGTATAGATCATTCCGATCAGATATTCATTCTAACATTTTCTTCCAATATTTCTGCACAGTCCTGTACTACAATATCTTTCGTATTATTTAATGGTAATAAGTGCCGAGATGAGCGATAATTATACAATTTAAGCTCCGGATGTTTCTCGAGCAGATACTTGTAAGCGGTTGCTAGCTTGTTGATATCCTCTATGGTAAGTTGCGTCGGCTTGAGCGTCGGTTCCAAGTCAGCTAACTTGTACATCATCAAACCTAAATCTTTGCGGTGTTCCTTCGGAAAAAGAGTTCTGTAAGAAAAATATAAAAAATTTATTCGCAGTTTTATTTATTATCATAATAGGGGTAATTTACAATATAAATAAACTTACTCGATGCATCGTATACTGTACTTCTGCCTGAAATTGAATATATGCCTCGTTATCATTTCAAAGAATTTAAAATCATACTGTGTGCGTGGTTTGACCAATGGCGTAAATGACACCACTCCCACATCGACATCCGGTTTTGGAACAAAAGCTTCACCTATAAATTATAAATTGGAGTGTAAATAACAAATTTCAGTGTAAAACAAATTTATATAACATAATAAATGCAGTTTAATTACCAGGTATAATAAAACGAAGTACTGGAAATGTCCAAGTTTGTGCCATTACTGATAGCCTGCATCGTTGATCTCCCATCGGTGGAGCTACTAAACGTTCCGCTACTTCTTTTTGGAACGTTAATGTCATTTTTGTTCTACCAAATGCCCAAGGTCCACGTTGTTCGGATATCGCATGCAACCACTGAATTATAAGATGTGTCGATAGACTAAATGGTAAATTGCCTATGACGAAGATATCTGGAGGTTTATCATTCCAATTTCTCTTTTTCTCCAGTGGAAATAGACTCTCTATGTTTGTTTTCAGGATGTCATCGTATATTATATCCATCTTTCCATTGATCGCACCGAATGAGTCCGCTAACATCTCTAAAGTCGGTTTAAATCTTTTATCTTTTTCCACAACTACTAATCGTTCAGGGGTCTTTTTTAGGATAGATCGAGTTAATCCACCTGGACCTGGACCGACTTCCAGTACTTGACCCCCGGAAATATTTCCTGCTTTTGCTACAATTTTCTTAGTTAAATTTTCATCCAAAAGGAAATTTTGAGACAATCGTTTTATGGCACTTAAATTATATAATTTCAGTATATCTCGTATGGTTGGAAGTGGTGGCAATCGTGGAGCAGACATCTTCAAATGTTAATCTTGTTACAGACACGCTTATGTGAAACAGTGGAGATTTACAAATAATCTCCAAAAAGGAAAAAAATATCACTTTAAAAAATAAGCTTTCTATTATATAAGCAAAAATGTACTATCTATTTAATACAATAAGCAGTAAACTTCTTTATTAACATTTCAAACAAAAGTAACTTTTTATGTAACTTTCTCAATCGTCTTTTCCGGCACTTTAAAGTCGTCTAAGAATTTTTCCTGTTTAACTGAATATATTGTATAAGCATAAATTCCAATAACTCCAAGGCTTAAAACAATAGCAGTACGATTATTTGCTTTACGATATTTCTGTACAGTTTTTGCTCTTTGCAAATTCTGTTCTTCCATACGTTTCATATAAATTATGTCTATAGACTTAAGCTTTGTTGCATCTTTCATTACATCAACCTTTGGCATAGCTTCATTTTGTCGAAGTTGATTATCTGTAGACAAATATATTAAGTTTACTTATGTCAAAGAATACTAAATAAAATATTCAACTTAGATCATTCACCAGGTCCCATTTCCACACACCAGTGTCCTCAATTAATTAGAACAGATCTTCGTCTCTTGTTATCAGTTCTAGCCTCGTCAAAACTTAAACAAAAAAAATATCATTGTAAAAACTGTTTACCTGTTTATATAATGATTATAGACTTTATAGATTTTAAGTAGTAAAAATCTTTAAAAAATTTAAATATAGTATTTAGATGACATGCACACACACACACACACACACACACACACACACACACACACACACACACACACACACACACACACATCAGAATTTCAATAATATATCTACAAATTTATATATAATTTTAACTACATAAAAATTATATAAATCTATCAAGTTATAAATATGAACTGAATAAATTACTAATTAATCTTTCTACAAAATTATAAAAATATAATTTAATTTTAATCTGAAAATGCACTAAAAACTAGGATTTTTTGAGGTTAAGTTAAATCAATCTATTAACTCTTATTAATAATTTAAGTGCATAACAATTATCAAATATTGATTAAGAAATACTCTGTACATTTGATAAAGATATGTACGTTATACATACGGTGAAAAAATCTTATAACTCGGTTTAGATTCTTCACATCGCAAGATCACACCATGCACACCTGCTACCTGCACTTCTGCACACAGTGCATATCATTCAGTGCGATACTGCCATCACAAACGAGTGGTGATTATGTGCAATACATGATAGAAAGAAAGCTTCAAGCATCTCTGTTGGTATTGTCGCATAATATATCAATTTAGTCTTATTGAATAGATTTTATAGTAATATTTATTGATATTTTTCAGATTTTTTAAATATGGAAAGTAATTCAGAAATTTTAATATACAGCATACGTTATACTTTTATCTTTAGCAAACATCATAGTTGCAACTATTTATATTTGCAATTATCAACACACACAAAAACTTAATATAAATTTATACAACTGCGCAAATAAAAAACTCGAGCAATGCAATTTTAAAATCACTATTAATAAAACAAGCTTTAATTGTAATTCACTCTTTCTATATACACATAAAATAAATATACATTTATTAAATAAATATACATAATATACATTTATTAAATAAATTACATAAATGCACATAAAATAAATATACATTTATTAAAATTAATTGACTTCTTAATGATTTTTCGCAGATAATATGTTTATCAAGAACTAAATTATAATCTTAAACAGAATATTATTTTAAATATATATTTTACATTTTATTAGCATCAAAAAGCTTTTTAGTGTTTTATTACAGACTCGCGTTTCAATATAGAAATGTATAATTTGATTTGTTAGATAAATGATTTATTAAGTAAAAGTGTATAAATAAGGATAAATATTACGCAGAAGAAA